AGTTATTTTGTGGTTCTCCTCAGGAAAAAGAAAAGGGTGGGTCTCAGAAGCAGGAAATTGGGTTTTCTACCAGAGTCCTCCAAAGATGCCAAGTCTGAAGTCATGGAGACTGGAAACAAAGCAGGTACATTACAGTTCACGAGGAGAAGCCAGTATAGCATCCAGGTGCTTTCCCAGAGCCACTGTTGACTAGCTACAACTTCCCTCGCTTCAGTGAAGTCTAAGCGACATGGTGAGCTCCACCCCACCCCACCCCACAAGGAACTGGATATGAACTCAGGTCCTGTGCATGCTGGACATGTCTCATCCTTTTAAAGAGATGGTTTTACATCCACACTCCTAACCTAGGCAGTCAAGTTAGACAGCACAGACTCTCAGACATGTTTAAGCATGGCTGATTTCAGATGGGGAGAGAGATAGATTGACAGATGCCCCAAGACCACTCTCTCCTAAGTTTCCCCACAGATTCAAATAGATTCTAAAATTCCTTTCCATTAAAATGAGAGGGAAAAAAAAACCCTCAATTTTTAAGGGGGCAAAAGGGGGCTAGAAAGATAGCTGGTGACACCAAAGTGCCTATAGCTCCAGAGACATCCACACTGCTGGCCTCCAAGGGCACTGTCACTCACATGCATATACCCACACACATACACACAATTAAAAATAAAATAAATCTTTAAAAATTAAATGGGCAAAGAATCTGAATAGGCATTTCTCCAAGGAGACATGCAAATATCTGCCAAGAACATCAAAGCATGCTCTCAGCTCTCAGGCAAATGCAAATCAGAATCACAAACTGCTGCTACCTCACACCCACTAGAATAGCTATAATTGAAGACAGATAATAACCATTGTTTGTGAAGTCCGAATAATGTGAGGAAATGTCAAACACCTGGCAGCACCTCAAATGATTAAATACCGAATAACATATAATTTAGCAATTATTTTCCTAGGTATACGTCTAATAGAAAAACACTTGGCCACAGGAAGACTCACACTCTGTAGCAATTTGTGTATAACAGCCAAAGGAGAAAACAAATGACATTCCATTCACGGGAGGACAGGCAGACAGAATGCAGTATGCTCACACATAGACCATTACCTTACTGTGAGGGAGCCTTGAAAACATGCAGAGTATAAGGAAATAAGGCAAGGTCACCAGGCTGGAGGGAGAAGACGGTGACAGATAAACAGTAGTAGTCCACAAATCTGAATGTATTAAAAGTAATGGGACTGTAAATTCAAATGAGTGGGATGTATTATGCAGCTTTAGTGAGACTTTTGAAAAGGAGGAAACATGGGGCCAAAAAGGCTCAGTGGCTAAGAGCACATACAGCTCTTGTAGAGGGCCCAGGTTCGCCTTCTAGCACCCACACCAGGCAGCTCAAAACTGCCTCTACATAACTCTAGCTCCAAGGGAGCTACCCTTCCTGACATGCATAGGCACACGCACACACGAACATAATTAAAATATGGGAGCTGGAGAGATGGCTCAGTGGTTAAGAACGCTTGTTGCTCTTGAAGAGAACAGGTGTTTGAGTCCCAGCATTCATGTAGTAGTTCACAGCCATCTGTAGCTCCACCTCCGGGAGACCTATCAACCTTTTCTGAGCTCCTAGGACACCAAGCACACACATATTGCACGTGCATATACGCAGACAAACACACATAAAATAAAACAAATAAGTCTAATAAAATTTAAAATTAAAAAATAAAATCTTTCTTAAAGGAGACAGCAAAAATCTAAGCAGTAAGTATGCTGTTGTACATTTTCCCGGGCTTCTGTTTTTGTTAAGATTTTAGTGGAGATTTCTTTTAAAAATATTTTTACTTGTAAGTGTATGGGTATTCTGCCTACATGTATGTCTATGTTCCATATGTGTGCCCACTGCCTTCGGAGACCAGAAGAGGGTGTTGGATCCCTCCCCCCCCCCCCATCTAGAGTTATAGACAGATGTGAGCCACCATGGGTGCTGAGAACCTGGGTCCTCTACAAGAGCAGCAAATGCCCTTAACCACTGAGCCAATGCTCCAGCCACCTCAGTCCCTATTTGACACTAAGCTCCCCAGGGCAGAGGTCCCTTGTCTATCTTAAAACCCCTCGCCCCACCTAAGCTCCTACCATGGTCACAAACCAGGCCTAGTGAAGAACACACAGCTGGTGCTTAAATGCAGAGAGATAACTCCCAACTGTTTCTGTAAGATGGTTTTACTGGGGGGGGGCTGAAAGTTCATTTCAACCAGAGATACTTTTCCAAAATTAAATCTCTCCACTTCTAGTAAGTGTCAAGAACCTGTGAAGAGACTTGAGTCTCTGCCTGCCTGCTTCCAAAGCACTTTCCTGCCCACCACTGCTTCTCAGGCAGTGGAGACAGTGCTGAAGGATGCCAGGACCCTCCCTGGATATGGAAGACACTTTCAGTGCTGCACTCCATTTTACCAGCAGGTGTCACTCTATAGCTTTTGATTTGCAAGTGCCAAATCACAAGGAAATAAAGAAAACAAAGCCCAGAAACACTAGGTGCCAAGAGGGGAGCAAGGCTTGGGCTACAGTGAAAAGTGTCTTACAGTGAGAAGAGGGAACAGAAACTCCCCCCAGAAAAGTCCTCCCAGGTCACGTGACCCAGATTAACAGTTTGCCGTCTGCCTTTCTTCTCCACTTTCATGGTCTAACCAAGAAAGCCTTCAGACAAATGTCCACTGAAGCAAACCCCAAAACTGTCAGGGTCGTCAAAACCCAGGAAAACCTGAGAAACTGTCGCAAGCAAAGAGCCAAAGGAGCAAGACTATGAGCTGTAACATGAGGTCCTGGCTGGTGACCTGGAATTGAAACATTAGGCAAAACTACCCAAACCCTGAATAAAGTACTCTGAGTACACAATGTTTATTAAACAACACTGACTGGTTCATTAAATGAGACAAGCATCTCACATTTGTGTAAAATGTTGCAACTGGACAACCTGCTCTCTGGTTTTCACAATTACCCTAAAGCTGTTCTGAAATAAAAAGCATATGTTTTGTTTTGTTTTGTTTTGTTTTTTTTTCAGGAAAAAGAAACTATCACTAGCTGCCCATTTGGCCATGTAGGATCCTATTTTAAGACTTGTTCCACTGCTTTAAAATGGCTGCTTCTTTTTCAGGCATATTCTTAAGTGACTGGATGACAGAAAAGAAAAGCCGCAGGCTTCAGAGAGCAGACAGGACTTGTGGTAGCCAAAAAAAAAAAAAAAAAAAGCACAGATCACTGAGGCCACACAGATCATCTCAAAACCCTAAAAATGTTCAGTGTTCACAGCATATAGAGCCCCTCATCCAAGCACGGTGGGCAAAGGAGGCTGGAAGGTGCAGCTGCACGGGGAAAGCTGGGCAGCCCTGGCTGTGATTCAAACAAGGTCCTGCTGAATGATAAACTGGCCGCTGGAGTCTTAAGCTCCAAACTTTCCTAAAGCCCCCAAAGAAATTGGGGGTACCAAATAGTAACTATCTCAACTTAAAGGCTCTGGAAAACTACTTAATATGTATGTTAGTTATTCAGTCTGAATGTTTAGTTATCATCTGTTGAAAAAGAAGCAAAAAGTTGTAAGTGGTGGGTCCATATTACGCTGCATCAATACCCAGGGGGACGTGGTTTTCTTGCTTGTGCTTTAAATGAAAAGCTGTGGTTGGGAAGAAATGGTGTGCTAGATTCCTGCCCCCATCAGCCACAATCTGAGGCGTCAGCTTCGCCTTGTTGGTAGGCAGCCAAACCTCAAGAAATATCTGCCAAGTGGAAAAAGCAGATTCAGAGAGGCGCACTTCGAAGCTTCGATCTTTTGGTTTTGTTGTTGTTGTTGTTGTTGTTCATTTTTCCAGACACTGTCTCATACTGTGGCCGAGACCAGATGGAACTCATTATGTAATCCAAGATGGCCTTCAACTCACTGTAATCCTCCTGCCTCTACCTCCTAAGTACTAGGATTATAGGTGTGAACCAGAATACCCAGATACCAAACTTCAACCTTATAAAGAGTTAGGGTGTGCCTCTTTCAATTAAAAATAAAAAATACAGGGCTGAGGCAGGATTGCCACAGGCTTGAGAGTAACCTGCGCTAGATAGTGAGTTTTGCCACAGCGAGGCAATAAGGTAAGATCTTGTGGGGGGGGGGTGAAACATGCCTGGTGGTGTATGCCTATAGTCCCAGATACTCAATAGGCTGCTGCAAGCTGCAAGTTCAAGGCCAGCCTGGGTAACTGAGTCAAACCCTATCTCAGAACAATAGTAAAAAAAGGGCTGGAGTCCAGCTCAGTATAGAGCAAGTGTGAGTCATTGGGCTTAATCCTCAGTACCGAATAAGAAAGAGACAGGCAGAGATGAGGGAGACAGATAGACAGACAGAGATAGAGACCAGGGAGATGTCTCAGTAAGTAAATGCTAGCTGCAGAAGCTCCGAGGCCACGTTCAGTATCTGGGATCATGTGGAAAGCAGCATTAGTGGTGTACATCGGCAATCCCAGCATCCCTTCAATGAGATGGGAGGCAGGGACAGGGGACTTGCCCAGAAGTCCATGGACCAGCTGCCAGAAGTGCATGGAGCAACAGAGGTAAGAGCAACCAACCGCACATCAACAGGCAGAAAGCAGCAGCCAACTCCTGGAGTTGTGCTCTGACTTCCAACACACACACACACACACACACACACACACACACACACAGAGAGAGAGAGAGAGAGAGAGAGAGAGAGAGAGAGAGAGAGAGAGAGAGAGACTAATTAGTATTGTTTAACAAAAAAGGAGGATGGCAGAAAAAAGTAAAAACCTATCCACCTTAGCTAAAAACTTGCATAGAGACGAGAAACTAAGACGGTGAGACACATCACCTCTACCTTACACACACTCTCAGTGGGTGGATTCACTGTAATATCAGTCTGAACCCATCACTGCAGAGGCAAAGAACTGAGTGACACCCGTGTGAATATAATTCAGGAAAAGCGAGAAACTAGCTGCAGTGACTTACTACCTACGGGAATGAGATGAGTGGGCTGCGATTCTTCCAGTTTGTTCCTCAACCAGTCAAAGTCCTGGTATCTTCTGCGAACAGAATATTCTGGCAAGTCAAACTCCACTCGAGTGCTCTGCAAATAAGAAGAGAGGAGGGGACATGTGCACAAGTGAGTAGGAGTGCATTCTGGCAGAGTTTAAAAAACACACTTTTAGAATAACCAAGTAAGGCAAGGACATACTTCCTTCCATCCCTGCACCAGACAAAAGGCAGAGTTTACCAGCAGGCTACGAAGACAAGGAGCTAGGATGGAGGCCAGCATAGTAGCACGCACCTTTATTTCCAGCACTCAGGAGTCAGAGACAGGCAGATCTCTGAGATCAAGGCCAGCCTGGTCTACAGAGTGATTTCCAGGACAGCCAAGGCTACACAAAGAACCCTGTCTCCAAAAGCCAATGAATGAATGAATGAATGAATGAATGAATGAATGAATGAATGAATGAATGAATGGACAGATGACAGACAGACAGCAAGCAAGGATGGGAACATCATATCTTTGGTTTGGTTTTGATTTTTTTTTTTTTTTTCCCTGCCCTCAGGAAATGGAACTCAGCAATTCCTCAGTCTAGAACATCTGATTCATTTCCTCCAGCTTAACTCTGAAAAGGCTGTTGTTTTTCTGCCCAGAATAATACAATTTCAGATATTGCTGCTGAACTGAACCCAAACCCATGAAAAGGAATGATGTTTCTGCCTTCTGCTACATATGCTGACAAGCCTTGCTGAAGGCAGAGGGAAACAACCAAGTAGAGATGACAGAAAACTGTTCCTGTGTGAGGCAGAGACTAAGACTTTTGCCAGGTATGGTGGTGCACACCTTCATCCCCAGCACTCAAGGCAGAGGCAAGAGAACTCTGTGAGTTCAAGGACAGCCTGACCAACATAGTGAATTCAGGCCAAGAAGGCTATACAGTGAGACAAAAACAAAAATTAAAAATAAAAAAGAGATTGTTACTTCATCTATCATATTCTGCCAGAACAACGACCTTGAAAGCATACTTCATTTTAGATCTAGATGAGGAAACATCTAGAAAAAAACACCATTGTGTTGCAGAAAACATTAACGATCTATGAATTTTTAGTTTTCTGAAATGTAATTTTATCACTTTAATAATAAATCAATATTAAATAAAATTAAGTTACCCCAAAATATGAGTTTTACTTATCAACTGTGACTTCTTCTAGGTTACACCACTCCTCCCTGGGTGGGTACCAGCAGTTGCCGATCTCAAATATGAGATAAAGTACAAGATAAAAATGATCTAAGCCACATTTTACAAATTTATTCTGCTTTTATCCAAGAGTTCCAGAAAAATCTTTAAAATACCTAAGGAAGAGTCATCCACCAAACAAGGCTGAGAACAGCTTTTGGTTCTGAGATTACGATGCCATCCTCCCCTGTACTCTTGGCCTGAGAACTGGATTGGGAGTTCTGACCCTCGAGGACTGCACCAGCTCCCCATTCAGTCCCGGCATTGTGAGTATCACCAGGTCAAAGCAGGCGGAGCGGGAGACCCAGGAGGACACACCTTGAAGGCAGTGCTGAGTTATCAGGCTTCCCAGCGGAAGTGGGGCTGTGGATGAACTCTGGCACAGCGTGACAGAATCGCCATTGACACTGCTCTGCTGTGCTCTGCGGAGCCTCCTGAGTCTTAGTTTCCTCAACACTGAGAGACACTTTCAAGACCCCTCCCAACACCCAGACTCCAGCAGAAAATCTGTCAGCAACCATGTACCTCCCGCCACCTCCCTAAATGCCCCTTGATTAAATCTACCACATTTCTTATTATGTTCGTTAAATTAATTCCACAAGCCACCACTTATGTAACATCCCTACCCAATGAAATCAATACTTGGTAACAAAAGACACAAGTAGAAGCTGTGTTTTTTTGTTTTGTTTTTAAAGGATTTATTTTATTTACTATGTATACAGTATTCTGTTGGCATGTATGGCTTTATGCCAGAAAAGGGCATCAGATTTCATTATAGATAGTTGTGAGCCACCATGTGGTTGCTGGGAATTGAACTCAGGACCTCTGGAAGATCAACCAGTGTTCTTAACCTCCAAGCCATCTTTTCCAGCCCCAGAAGCTGTGTTTTGCTTCAAACTTTTCTGTATCTGGGGATCTGGATCCAGGTTATATTTGCTTATTTTAAAACTTCAAGAAACATAATGAATGAAAAATATGAAAATGGATATAGTCCTAAATAGACAATATTTAAATTTATAAACTTGCATTTTTATGCATATTCATTGTTTCTGTATCATTTTAATGCATCCTGGACACCTTTGTGTCCAGATCTTTAAAATCACTTAACATACATACAATATTCAACTGAGTAACTATAACATAATTAGTCCCTACTTAAATTGTTTCTGATTTTTTTTTAAATCATTAAACAATGTTATATAAACATCATTGGGCTTCTATACTTTAATCCCACTAAAACTCCTAAGGGTAGAAGTGTTGTTTGTTTATTTGTTTGTTTTGGTTTTTTGTTTTTGATTTTTTTTTTAGAGATAGGCTTTCACTGTGTAGTCCTGGTTGGCTGTCCTGGAACTCACTTTGTAGCTCAGGCTGGCCTTGAATTCAGATCCACCTGCCTCTGCTTCCTAAATGCTGTGATTAAAGGTGTGCCCCCTCCATGACCATCAGGCAGTGTCTCTTGGTGTTCATTGCTGGGGATCCTCCTGCCTCAACCTCTAATCTCATAGTAGGAACCCTGGGTCTGCCGATGCACCATGTCCAGTTTCATGTGAGTTCCAGGATCCAAACTCTGGTCTTCACCATGTGTGGAAAACACTCTGTCCACCAAGTCATATGTAGTGTGTGGGTGAATGTGGGTGTGTAGTGTCTGCTGAATGTATGTCTCTGTGCCATTTATGTGCCTAGTACCCGAGGAGGTCAAGAAACGGCATCAGATGCCCTGGAACTGGAGTTGGAAATGGTCATAGGCTGTCATGTAGTGCAGTCATTTAAATGCAGGTCCTCCTGAAAAGCAGTCAGTGCCATTAACCACTGAGCCATCTCTCCAGCCCCATCAAAATGCTTGTGTTTTAAAGGTACCACAGGGTATGTACTACAGCAGGAGATACTTGTCTCCAGCAAGGTAAATATCACCATAAAACAGAAAAGATCTTTCTTTTCTGGCTCAGACTGTATCTTACTCATTTTGACCACAGCTTGTTCTATGAAAGGTATACAGATAAAATACAATCAAATGACGGAAATTAGAAGCCGGTGAGAAAGAGACAGGGAAAACAAGGACAGGGAGTCTAGCACAGTGGAGGCAAGAGCGAGGTCAGTACAACCATTTGCCACGCAACACTGCAGAGCTGCTGAAAGTGGGCCACGCGCATCGCTGTAACTTTCTGGAGAAGAGCTGAGAGGGAGAGGACTCGGGAATTCATAAAACAGTTCGATTAACAAAACTCCAGGGGCCAGGAGAGTCAGTTTTCCTCTGTGAAATCCGGGGTTTCTATTCTCTAATATCAGCAAACAGAGAGACAGACACTCAGACAAATTCCATCATCAGAGAGGACCTCTACATCGTCCTTTCACTCTGTTTCTATAACCCAGTGTCCATCACAGGTCGCCCAACACTCCAGTCAGATCTGAGACTGTAAAGAACTCACCATGCTAGAATAGCAGTGCAGCATTGCTGTTCCAATATGAACACCTCTCTAGTCATCTCTGGAAACATCAGCATCCAAGCCACAACCTATCAACACCCAGCAGGACAGTCTGCACCTGCACCCCACGACTATAAAGGTCTCCCTTTCCATCAGACCTAGACTGCACAGGGCTCGGGAAACCCAACGCTACACAGGAGCAGCTTCCATCCTCCAGACTATTAATTATGTGAGATTCCAAAGATTTAGAATAGACTTTTCAAAAATTTAAACAGTACAAAAGTAGCCTCCAATGGCAACAGAACCCATGGTGGGTTTATTGAAAGTGGTCAAAACACTAATTAATTTACCAACTGCTAGCTTCCACAAACTCAAAAGCTAAGACTATCCTCTGGTAACACCAGAGCATTTAGCAATATCAGGCAAAGAACAGCACACACTCTACAACAGGGTCCCCAACACCGTCAAGCAACCTCAATCTTCCCTGCATCACCAAGCAACCTCAATCTTCCCTGCATCACCAAGCAACCTCAATACTCTCTGCATCACCAGTTATTAAAAAGCATAGAAACCTTGAAAACTTCTTAACCTCCCTTTGTTCCTGTCAGCTGATCTTGTCATTCTGCCCTAGAGAAAACTGCAGATATAAGCACAGATCCCTTAACTTCCTACCACAAGACAAGCTCCCCTTCCTTTTCCCAGAACAATGGGCAGGGTATGCTTCTCCTAGCAGAGACCAAGCCATATGCTTGTCCTCAGCACACATCCCCTTACGTACCCAGCAACTCCTGTCCTACTCTCCGATCTTCATCCCATGTCTACTTTTCCCTGTGCCATCCCAGTCTGTCCATCTGGCTCTTAATTCTCCTTCATTCTCAAAAATAAAAATACGTAAGCTAGACACAGTGACACATATCTGTAATTCCAGCACTCGGGAGGCCAAGGAAAGAGGATAAAGAATGAGTTCTACGCAAGCCTAGACTACACAGCAAGTTTGAAGTCAGCAAGGCTCTGTCTAACATCCTCATACATAGGCCTGCAAGCACGTATGCCCACAGCTTCTCTGCCATTCAGAGTGCTCTCTTGTAGTTACTGTTCTTGATTGACGCTATATTCTTGCCAAGTGAACTGCCAAGCTACCAACACTTACATCTTTCCCCCTTACCTCCCATTCACATTAACCAACTTCAAACCACACTCACCCAAACCCTTGTCACTAAGTCAAATGTCCACATATGATCAGTAACTCCTTATCCAGACCTCTTAGCAGCATTCACACTCTAGACTACTGGGGTATCTAATGAGAAACTGGCTAAAGCAAAGGAGCTGGTAATAACCAGCAGACACAACCCTGGGTGTGCCTCTGGGGTGACTCCAAATCCACTGGATCTGACAATGAAGACTGGCCATCACAGGAGACGTACTCTGGACTCAAGCTCCAGTCCTACAGGACATCAGCTGCTTGTCACTGAGCAATTAAATTCATGTCACTGTGACTAAGCTCCATTTTAAAACTAAGAATAGTACAATATTCACTTCACTGTGTAAAGATTAGCAAGACACTTAAAGCACTTTGCACAAAATAAACAATGGAACAGCGGACAAGAGAACAGGACTGTGGTCTCAGAGGTGACGTCAAAACGTGCTGCCTGGGACTTGCACAAAGTGATATATGTCATGCAGTCAATACAAGTGTTCGTTTTCATGAAAGAACATAGACAATAGCACATTGGGTCAGCAATGGTTATTTCTGTTGTTGTGACTTTATAAGAGCCTACAGAAAAGAGCCAGGAGCTGCTGGACTACAGGGGCCGTGCTGTGCTAGAGGAAGGCGTGGATGGTGGAGATTGGGTGAGCACTCCTGCATAGTGATCCCTGTCTCAATCATCATCACCACATTCATCATTAGAGGAGTAAGGGGCTTAAAATTTAGCACCTCATGCAATGACCACTAACTCTGCTTGAGGGCCTCAGCAGCATGCAAGTCCCAGGAATAGGATCTTGTAGCCCGTCTGTACTCCCTCTCATTCCAAGATATCACTATCATGTGAACAGCTTTCAAAAAAAGAAAAACACTGCAAACACATCAGCAAGATATTGAACCTGGTCCACTTTTAGAAACAGAAGAGCAGGCAACTCTCGGGGTCGGAAGGACAAGGAGAGAGATAATAAAAAAACAAGAATAAGGCAGCAATTTGTCACACCCAAGTAAAAGCCAGGACTAGAACCTGAAAACAGTAGTTTCTCAGTTACAGGGAATCAAATAATCCCAGGAGCAAGGACAGAAATAAGAACGCAGAGGGGGAAAGGTAGGCAAGAAAGGAGAGAGAAGAGGCCTAGGCAGGATAGTGAGTTAGAGCAGGCACATTAGCCAACGAACCAGTTAAGCCCTGCAGGGTTTGCTTTAACTTGTATGGGGGGTTGCAGGGTTTGCTTTAACTTGTATGGGGGGGGTTGCAGGGTTTGCTTTAACTTGTATGGGGGGTTGCAGGGTTTGCTTTAACTTGTATATGTGTGTATGTGTGGGGAAGGGGGGGACTGCAGGGTGCAGGAATCAAGCAGTGTTAGAAAACTCTCAGGCTGGGTAGGCACTGCTGTGCCAGCAAGGCAGTCACTCTGTCACCAGGCTGCTTAACAGCAAGTCAAGAAAAACAGGTTTTGCATTTTACGGACTACAAGGTGAAAAGTAAGTTCACCCCAAGAAAAAGTAAACAAATGAAAAGAATTCCTGGAAATATGCACACCACCTAGGACCTCTGAGGGAATCATACATGTGTGAGTACCCCTTCAGGGGATGATGGGGCAGATATACAAGGACAGGCAAGCCTTCAAGTGTGAGCCAGGTACAGAAAGATGGGGTGCAGTGACTTTAAAAACCTGAGAAAGGTCTAAATGTCCACACACGGGGGGGAGGGGGGTGATTATGTAATCACTGCATGATTAGGCAGACCCAGAGAGTAAGCTGCATGGAGGTATGTGGGCATGGGAAGGCAGAAGGGACGTGAGAGAGCAGAACACACTCAAACCTACACAAGGCTTGTTCTGTGTTTGTGTGTGCCACAGATGAAGGGAAGAGGCAGGCGAGGCCAAGCTGCAGCAACTTTGCTTCTGGTGAGAAGACCGCCCAGATGACGAGGGGAAGGATGAGCTTTCCACTCTGGATTCGGTCTGTGGGACTGTTTCCGTTTTATGAGCATGTAGTTTACTATTCCTGTAATTTTTAAAATATAGTAATCCCGCCCAACAAAAGTTGAAGAAATATGTGAACATATTTCATTCTGTTTATCTTTCCAGGAATTTAAACAGGTATAGAACCTACAAAACTTTTACAATTAAAAAAAAATGTTTATTGGGTACAGAGGCACACATTTGTCATCTCAGGGGTGCAGAGACTGGCATAGAAGGATCAACGAGAGTTCGAGGCCAGCCTGGGCTACACAGCAAGACCTTGCTCCCTGCCCCCAAATAAGTAATTATTTTTTAATTAAAAAAAAAAAAAAGTAAAAAATGAAGCCAGGAACATAGTTCAGTGGCACTGTGCCTGGCATGTGTGAGGCCCTGTGTTCGGTTCCCAGCACAAACAGGAGGGGAGTTGAACAGTGAGGAAGAGATGTAGTTTATCTGAGCTACTAACACCATAAACGTTCATCCACAAAGGTTCATTAAACATCTGTAATCCCTTCTGCAGTGTGGTTTGTGGTGGAAGAAAAATACACAGATAGAACGGTTTCCTAACTAAAGCATTTCTTCACACACACACACACACACACACACACACACACTCTTAAAGCACATCCTGGTAACATTCCCCATTACCCCTTTTGTCCCTCTCTAACCACCAAGCCCCTCCTCCCCTCACCAAGTCCCCCTCCCCACACGAAGTCCTCCCTCCCCTCATCAAGCCCCTCCTCCCCACACCAAGTCCCCCTCCCCTCACCAAATCCTCCCTCCCCTCACCAAGTCCCCCTCCCCTCACCAAGTCCCCCTCCCCCTCACCAAGTCCCTCCTCCCCTCACCAAGCCCCTCCTCCCCTCACCAAGTCCCTCCTCCCCACAAAGTCCCCCTCCCCTCACCAAGCCTCTCCTCCCCACACCAAGCCTCTCCTCCCCCACACCAAGTCCCCCTCCCCTCACCAATCCTCCCTCCCCTCACCAAGTCCTCCCTCCCCTCACCAAGCCCCTCCTCCCCTCACTAAGTCCCCCTCCCCACACCAAGCCTCCCTCCCCTCACCAAGTCCTCCCTCCCACTTTCATATCTTTCTGTTTTGTTTTTGTAAAGCACTTTTTAAATTCTAAAATACAAACACATGGATTTTCTCCTTAGTAAGAAGATGATTTAGATCAGTAACTTCTTATTAAGCAGCAATGTTGCTCCCCAGCAAGTATTTAGCAATGTCTGAAGATATTACTCATTGTCACAAGTTGGAGTTGGAGAAGAGTGGAAGGTGCTACCAGCATCCAGTGGAAAGAGCCAGGGGCATCACAACACAGCCTACAATAGTTCATCCCCAAATGTCAATACTGCGAGCCAAGAAACCCTGCTCTAACTCTAAAAATATAATACTGTTTTAAATGTGAATAAGACTTCAAAAGTAAAAAATGACAATACATACAGGTCTGGGGATGTATCAGTGGTAGAACACTTGCCTAGTGGGTACAAGGCATTCCATTCCCACCATGCCCCCAAAGAGTAAGGATTAAATGTATTATTTCACAAGTAGAATTAAACAAAGAAAATGAACTTTGTAGTCTTAACACATTCATGTTAGAAACCTAGTTCCAGCCGGATGGTGGTGGCGCACACCTTTAATCCCAGAACACTGGAGGCAGAGGCAGGTGGATCTCTGTGAGTCTGAGGCCAGCCTGGTCTACAGAGTGAATTCCAGGACAGGTTCCAAAGCTACAGAGAAACCCTGTCTCGAAAAACTAAAACAGAGAGAGAGAGAGAGAGAGAGAGAGAGAGAGAGAGAGAGAGAGAGAGAGAGAGAGAGACCTAGTTACCAATTTTTTGCCCCATACAAGTTACTCAGTTTCCTCACCTATAAATTTTTAACTAAAAATAAACCTTTTAGGATTTCTGTGAAAACTAGTCAGTTTAGTGCTCTACCTTCTATCGGTCTGGAAAATGGCATGGCAGAGAGTCACTAGGCATTAGCTTCAGACCCCCTTATTTTCTGTCTTTAACTCCATTTAGACCAAATCTTGATCCCACCACAGAGACTTAGACTGGTACACAGTCATGCATATTGTGATGAACACATTAAGCAAAACCACCATATGACACAGAGGTGTTACAGGAATTAAATGTTCTATTTAAATTACTTCAACCACAATTTCTCCTCGTTCTCAGGATAAAAACCTATTACATCATTCTTTTAACTTTTAATAATAACCATTTTTTCCCTGAATCTGAGGAGAGACAGCAAAGGCAGAGAGAGGATCTCAATAGGCCCAGAGTATTGTTCTCAGTTGCCTCCTATTGCTGTAATAAAACACCCATGACCAAAAGCAACTTGGGAATGAGAAGGGTCTATTTGGCTTACACATCCCAATCACAGTTCATCACCGAGGGGAGTCAGGGCAGGAAGCTGGAGGCAGGGACTGACGCAGGGACATGGAGGAAGGCTGCTTGCTGGCTTGTTCTCCAGCTCATGGTTAGCTACCTTCCTTATACCTTACAGGACATCTGCCCAGGGTGGTACCACCCTGGGCTGGACCTTCTTATATCAATCATTAATTAAGAAAATGCTCCTCAGGCTTTCCTATAGGCCAGTCTTACAGAGGCATCCCATTAATTGAGGGTCCCTCCCCCAGGTGACCATAGCCTGTGTCTATTGCCCAATGACAAAAGCAAAGACACAGCACAAGTATGAACCCCAACATTCTGAAACAAAGGGACCTACTTTGGTGGTGATCCTGTATGTGATGTAGGTCTCCATTGTACAGACATGCTTCTTGGGATCATCAACCGTGACAAAGAGATCTCTGGTTTCACCATCAATGTCATCATCAAGCTGGAGTCTGTTCAGAAGGGAAGATGAAGAGGCTGGGCTCGAAGTGCCTGCTGGAGTACCACCATTGGGCAAAATGAGGTCCTGGAAGAAGAAAAGAACGGCCTCACAAATCACATGAATGAGAACCTCATCAACCACAGTTGCGGAAGCCACGCTGAAAAACACCTCGAAGACAACTTCTAAAGCGCCGTGCCTCTTTCACTCCATGTGTCTCAAATCAACAGGTCAGAGGAAGAACTCAAGCAGGAACTGATGCAGAGGCCATGGAGAAATGCTGCTTACTGGCTTGCTCAGACTGCTTTCTGATAAACTCCAGAATGACCTGCCTAGGGGGTGGTACCTTCCACAGTGGGCTCAGTCCTCCCACATCAATCATTCATCAAGACAGAGCTTCACGGACTTACCTACAGGCCAATAAATGATGGGTGTCCTCTAGATTGAGACAGTGCCCCACAGACATGCCTACAGGCCAATAAATGATGAGTGTCCTCTAGATTGAGGCTCATTTTCCCAGATGGCTCTGGCTTATGTCAAGTTGACAAAAAGCTAACTAGATCTTAGCCCATCGTACCATCTGTCCTCTGTCGTATTTAAAATTCCACAGTAAAAAACAAAAAAAAAAAAAAATGATTAAAGAGATTATCAGAGGGAGGACAGTATGACTGACTGCAAAGGGATGAAGGCCTAAGGCTAACAGGATAAACTACATGTTAAGAATTTCTTACAAAATAATTTATATTTTATTTTATTTTGGGTTTTTTGAAACAGGGTCTCTCTGTGTAGCCTTGACTGTCCTGGAACTTGTTCTGTGGACTGGGCTTGGCCTTGAACTCAAGAGATTCTCCTGTCCAGTGTTTGTTGTTGTTATTGTTTATTTTGTTCTGTTATTTTTGCAAATATAGTATTTTTAAAAGGCTGTTTAAAAGATGGTTTGGAAGAAAATGGCTTGCTCCTATAGGCTCCATAGGGAGAGGCACCATTAGAAGCTTGTTGGAGTAGGTGTGGCCTTGTTGGAGGAAGGATGTCACAGGGGTGGGCTTTCAGGTTTCAAATACTCCAGCCAGGCCCAGTGTCCCTCTCTTGTAAGGAGTAAGGTTTTTCCACCCGCCGCTGGTCTTGTCCCACCACCGTGCCAGCCCCAAATAACTCACAGAGACTCTATATTTGATATAATTTTGTTGGCCAGTTACTTGTTTTTTATCAGCTAGCTCTGTCTTAAGTATTAATCCATTTTTGTTAATCTATGTATTTCCACGTGGTTTCATCTTACCGGAGAGAGGGGACCGGCGGTTCTGCTCTCTTCGTCTTCCATCTTGACTTTTTCCTACTACTTCCTCTTTTCTCCTTGTCTCCTAGTCCCGCCTATCTAGCTTCCTATTGGCCAACAGTGCTTTATTCATTAAACAGTATGAGAAACATATTTACGAATGACATTTGCCATTACTCTCTTCCTACTGTCTGCTGTTGCTACTTCTCCAGCAACCACCATACTTCCCACCACGACGATAATGAACTAAACCTCTGAAACCATAAGTCAGGCCCAGTTAAATGTTTTCCTTTATAAGAGTTGCCATGGTCATGGTATCTCTTCATAGCAATAGAAACCCTAACCAGGACAAAAGCCATGAACATTTAAAGCCCTGTTTCACAATTCCCCTGTTGTGTTAGGACTCAACACGAGAACAAAGCCCCTGTCTAGCAGAAGATGGAAAGATCTCTGAGTATTTCCTCAGAAATCACTGGATACAATGACTAAGAAAGTGACAAGATACCAATGGAAAGGCATTGGTGACCCCAGATCATAGGGTAGGGTCAAGGAAGTGCTCTGGGAGCTGAGACCTGTTTCCTAGGAGTCAGCTCAACAGTCACATTCATGAGCTAAGGCTGACCAGAGGATCCCAAAGAAGAAAAAAAAAAGACAGCAGAAGAAAGCATGGCCTCGGGTAAAGAGAAATGCCATCAGGCTCAGTGGGTGACAGACGTACACCACAGGTTCTCCCCTTTGCCTCCCATCTGCACCAACTACAGATCATTTAATCACACACTCAAGGCTATGTCAAAAACAAAATATTTGCCAGGTGCAGCAGTATGTGCCTTTAATCCTAACACTGGGATGGCTAAAGCAGGTGGATCCTCTTGTGAGTTCAATGCTAGCTTGGTCTATATAGTGAGTTCCAGGACAGCTGGGGCTATGTAATAGAGAGACCCTGCCTCAAAAACAATTAGTTTCTGTAACTATTAAAAGGGTGCCATCTTTTGTAGTAGGCTTTCTCTTTGGGCCACCAACCAGCTCACAAATAAAGACATGGAGACTTCTTAGTTATGAATGTTCAGCCTTATCTTATGCCTGTCCAGTCATTATCTCTTGTGACTTAATTTAACCTGTTTCTCTTCACCTACGTTTTACCTAAAGCTTTTTAAATCTCTCTTTCATTCTGTATGCCTTCCTCCATGTCTGGCTGGCTAGCCACTGCCTGGCTGGCTGGTCCCAGATATCACCCTTTTTCTCCTTTGTTGCCTTCTCTCCAGCCGAGATTCCTCCTCCTACTTATTCTCTTTGCCCGCCAGCCCTGTCTTTCCCTCTACTGCCTAGCTACTGGCCATTCAGCTTTTTATTAGACCAATCAGGTACCTTAGGCAGGCAAGGTAAAACAAATGCAACACATCTTTACCCAGTTAAACTAATATTCCACAATAATCTTTATAGCTATGCTTCCAACTGTGGAGCAGCATGAGGAGCGGCCAGCTGGGTGTGGTGTGGATATGAAGGCAGAGCCTTGCTATAGCTGCTGCTGACCTGCTGGCCTTCTCTGAGCATCTATACTACAGGGCATGCATGTAGTATCACACTCAGGGTCTGAAGGTCAGTGAGGAGACATGGTCTCCGGAACTCTGAGATAGTCAGGGTAGCACTGCCCCCTCCATAAAATTTTTAAACATGGACTACAAGAAAGCCACTTTCTTAGACTCCCCAAGGTCCCACCTTTACATTTATCAACACTAGAGCACTGGTTTCAGAACAGCTCAGTCAGTGGCTAATCACTGCACAAGAAATACAGAAATCAAACCCTTGTCCAAGTAAGTCAAACAGCTCAATAATGGTCTTCTGTGATCTAGCCTGGCTAACTCTGGAAGCCACCATGTTGTCATATACTTTGACTTTGTTTAAAATCCACCCCATAAAGGGGTGGCAATGTTGCCAAATATGCTAGATGTTCTCTCCCTCCCTCTCTCTCTCTTTCTCTCTCTCCTTCCCTTCTTCCCTCCCTCTCCCTCCCTCCCTCCCTCCCTCTCTCTTTCTCTGTCCTGCTCTTCTCCACACTTGGAAGGCATCTGTACTGAAGCAACGATCAATTTTAGTCACTGATCTAGAGGCTGTCCAGATGGCTCGGGAGTTAAGAGCACTTCCTGCTCTTGCAGAGGACCAAAGTTTAGTTCCCACTTGGCAGCTCACAACTGTCTGTAATTCCAGTTCCAAAGGATCCAAAGTTCTTTTATTACATCTGCAGACACCATGCACAAGTGGTGCACACATGTGGTACATATACATACATGCAGGAAAACAAACATACATACACATAAAATAAGAATAAATATTTTTAAATCATTCGTTTATACAACTGACTTATCCACAAACAATGCTTCCCCCTATGTGAGCATGTATACATGTGTGTGCAAGTGCTAGTGTAATCATCTATCTGGCTTCTCTTGCCTGAGCCACAGAGACTCTATACCAGCTCTCCTAGGTTTGACCTAGGGACCTCAGCCAGTAACCTTGAGGAATAGAAATGCCCTGACCAGTATAGGAAGGGCCAGGCAATCAAACCCAGTCACAAGCAAATCTCATGGTAGCAGTACCATCTATGACCAACATGAGCTGAAGACACTGGAGCAGGTACTCTCATCCATCAGTCTCCATCACGCAGCCAGGGTGCTTCTAAGATAAATATAAATCCAAGGCAAGAGAGTTCTGAGTACTTGATGTTAGCAGAGGACATGCACATAGGGTGGCTCAAAACTAACTGCCTGGGACTCCAGCACTAAGGGACCTGAAATCTTCAGGTGTCCTCAGGTACCTGCACTCATGTGCACAAATTCACACACAGACACATACATACATACATACATACATACATACATACATACATACATATATATATATATATATTAAAACAAACAAAGCAAGCAATTTCCAAGACAGCTAGGACTATACAGTAAAGTAAAAAAAAAAAAAATTTACTTTAGAAATATAAATCAAACATGCTGCTTCCTTCCTTAAAATTCTCAAAACTGGGTGCTGGAGAGATGGCATTAGCTGCTCTTCTAGAGGTTGTGAGTTCAACTCCTAGCAACCACATGGTGGCTCACAACCATCTCTAATGGGATCGGATGCTCTCTGCAGCCATGAAAGCACACTTGCAGATATACATAAAATAAATAAATAACTCTTTAAAATTTTTCTCAAAACCATGCCATTACACAAAGTCAAAACTCACTCCCACAGAATGAGCAATACTAGTCCTCCTCCCCACCATTCCCTCCCCCTCTTCCTCTTGCTCCAGATCACTGGCCTTCTGGCTGGCCTTGGCCTCAGGGCCTTTGCACATGTGCTCTCTCTCCCAGATCCCAATGTGGCTACTCCCTCCCTTCATACATGTTGCTGCGCAAATGATACCCACTTGAGAGGTCTTCTCAGTCCACTAAAACCTAAAACTAACCCCATAGCCTTTCATCATTCTTCAACTCCTTCTCCAGCTTTGTTTTCTTGGCAGGATTATCATATTTGAACTTTTATTACATATTCTGATTTGACTGTCACTACTCGTCTGTGAATTCCATGAAAGCAAAGACCAGCCATATAGTGGGAACTTGAAAGAATGAGACGACGGATGAGTCTCAGAAATGACCCAACTAGATCTTTTACCAACAGAAGATGCCCAATAGGCACCTGCAGAGTGAGAACACCTCCAAGGGTAACCTGAGCCACACTGCCCCTCTACCAGTGCTGAGATGATACTCTAGTTCTCTCCTTTGCAATAAGGGTACAATAGCATAGGGTCAGAATACAGAAAGTAACTGGA